AGATTTAAATTTTGGTTATTTTTAACTAAAATATATATTTTACGGTTATTTTTTCAAAAAGTTGTAATCTAAATAAATATTTTATACGGTTGCATCTTTTTATCGTAACACCTCATAAACAATTGCGATTGTTTAGTTGAACTATTGCAACATTTACTCTATTTAACGAACAATTGTAATTTTTGATTTATTTTATAAATCGTTAAAACATTTAATTTAAAAAAAAACTAAAAATATACATTTTACGGTTGAAGTTTTTAAGAAAGTTACGATCCGATGTCTTCTACGGTTACTTTTTTTTATCATAACTTTTCGTAAACGGTTGCAACCGTTTAGTTGAACCATTGCAACATTTAGTTTATTTTACGAATAAATGCAATTCTTGGTTTATTTTATAAACCGTTATAGCAATTAATTATCTACAGTCACGTTTTTCGATGTAACTTTTTATAAACTAATATTTTAATTTTAATTACTAAAATATATTTTTAAATAATTGTAACTGTTTAGTTGAACCGTTGCGACATTTGGTTTATTTGAAAAATTATTGCAACTTTTGGTTTTGTTTTATGAACTGTTGTAATCTTTAGTTTGTTTGACGAACCGTTGCAACATTTGGTATATTTGGCAAACGATTGCAATTTTTACTATATATGATATCTACGGTTGCGTCTTTCTAGTTCTTCATCAAATTTTAATTTTAATTACAATTTAAATGAATATGTTGCTACCGTTTAATAGAACATTGTACATTTGGTTTATTTGACGAACCAATGAACATTTTGGCTTATCTGATGAACCGTTGTAACCTTTGGTATGAGAGTACGTATAGATATCGAAAAGACGGTGGGTCGACACGGAAAGAAGTACGACGACGATGGAGCATAAATCATGAAAAAACAGAATTGACTAAATGATCCATTTTTCAAAATAATTTACAGTCAATAGCAAGCATCGACGTAATTCTATCACTACATCCGTCGCAGATATGTGACTAACGTTTTACCGTTGTAACAAAATGTTTTTCTTGACGATGGTGAGTTAATTACGAGGCTACCGGTGGGGTGGTCAACTTCTTCCGAGATATGAATGAAAAAAGGAGATGAGGAGATGATCGGACTTTTTAGAGAGAAATTTATATATTTTTATATATTTTTAATTGTAACTTATCTCACTTCTCATCCTATAAATACTAATTTATCATTCTCTCATCCTCTCATCCTCTCATCCTCTCATCCTCTCACCCTCTTCCACTATAGCTCAAATCTTAAATATTTTTTTGTTTTGTGTCCTGACATTAGTTTTTTTTTTTTTGAAAGATGCATCTTCATTGTCTATTTTAGATTTATATAATCATCTTATAAGTAATCATACATATAAAAGTAAGGTTTCACTCTCTTCTTATTGGTCCATTTAGAAATGTAACTTAATTTTTTAATTTTTAATTAAATCATAAATAAAACACATTTAACTCACACTTTAATATAAAAACTGAAATCATTAAAATTATACATTAACTATATTTTTCTACTCAATTTTATTCAACACACAATAAATTAGAATTGTAACTCCCATAATTTATATATTTTTAATTGTAACTTATCTCACTTCTCATCCTATAAATACTAATTTATCATTCTCTCATCCTCTCATCCTCTCATCCTCTCACCCTCTTCCACTATAGCTCAAATCTTAAATATTTTTTTGTTTTGTGTCCTGACATTAGTTTTTTTTTTTTGAAAGATGCATCTTCATTGTCTATTTTAGATTTAAATAATCATCTTATAAGTAATCATTCTCTCATCTTCTTCTACTATATTTATGTATCTATTTTTATGTTGTTATATGGATTAAAAATCAAGAATTTGATTCTAAATTTATTTTAGAATGTAGTATATATATCTAACATTGTATTCATTTTTGTATTTCTAAAGCCAAACTAAAATATACTTATTTATTCTTATTTTTCATATTTTAAGTTTAAATTCACATATGTATACTAAAATTTTGGATGGTTATAACAAAATTTTCATGTTTATTGGTGATGGAGAGTTAAATATATCAATTCCAGTCATAGCACTAGATAACATATAAATTGTTGATATAAACAAACCATTCTGACTTAATAAAATTATCCATTTCTATTATCTACTTTAGATGTTTGATTATTTTCTTATATATTCATGTAATTTTTTAATTATGCAATATTTAATGAAATAAATTATTGTAGTACATTTATTAAATATATATTTCTTACCTTTTTCTTATCTCGAATAAATTTTATAATTTATTTTTAATATATGTATTATTGTATGTACTTTTTGTGATCCAATAGATAATTATATAAATATTGTTATACTGTTTATTTTATTTAAAATTTGAGGTTTTAAGTATTTTCCAAATAAAAAAGAATTTCGTTAAAAAACATTTCGTCCTTAAGATTAAAAAAATAAATCATATGGTTCAAGAAAATTAATTTAGGTAGAATAGAAAATTAGAATGAAATCATTAGAATGAAACATAACACTCATACTTAAATGGAGTGAAATATACAAGAAAAAATAACTATAATTAAAACAAAAATCATTTTATTAAATCCTATAAAGATAAAACCATTAGTATAAAATCTAGCACTAGATTAAATTGATGAGTGAAATTAAAAAAAAAAATAGAAGTTATCCTTGGATCTTTGATGATTTTAGTTTGCCACTTGCAAAATAATATTAATTTGAACTATTATGCGGGAGTTTATATCAACAAACAAAAAAATTATATGTGAGCTTATATCAACAATTTATTTTGTAAAAGTAATAGATAACATATGTTTATTGATGTTTACATACATAAATAATAATAAAGTAAAAAAAAAATACTTATATATGAGCAAATGCAATATATCAAATCTTAAGAGCTTTAAAAAAAAAATTCAATCATATTTATATTGAAACAAATGTCATCCACATCATTAGCATGTAATAATTTAAGATTTTTTCTATAATAATATATAATAATTATATTTGATGTATTTTCTCATATTTTGTAACCTCCATACTAATAATTATCGTTATGTTGTTAATGCTCACACTAAATTGTAACAATACTTTAAATACAATTAATACAAAATGAATTCTACACAATGAATTCTTTGAAATGTAATATAAATTTTATGATATACATACAATTAACTTACTCATAAATGACATTTAAACATAATTGTTAAAGTTGAATAGTTGTAAAACGTAAATATGGTGTCTTCTATAAATAATAATATACACATATCACTAACTATCATATTCCAAATTTCATAATATTGATAAATTTTATAACAGTTTCTTTTATAATCCGACTAATGGTGTTTTAATATTACATTTTTGTCAATTTTGTAAGAGGCTATGAAGAGGAGATGACATGTAACCAATAAACCTTACTCACAATCAATCGTATGTGCTATTTCAAAGGTGTTTTAAAAGGAGCGAGTAGACAAACCCGAAGTTGTAATGCAATAAGAGAAGATATATTAGATTGATTTTCTTTGTCCAAAACAATCAATCTATATAAACCTGAATTTTGAATGACTCAAAATAAATTTGATATTTTTAAAATGAGATTAAGAAGAAAATCAAGAAGACTAATGATGAATAGAAGAAAAAATACAATTGAGTATGCTTCGAAACAACATAAATGTTAAGTGGTAGTGGAAACAGATGCTTGAATTGTATAATAGAATAATTCATCTCTCTTCACTTATCTCTTACAATATAATTCATCTCCATTCCTACAACTATTTCTTAAACTGTAAAAAAAAAATTACGGAATAAATTATTTGTTATACATTTCTCAAATAAATTATGCTTTTACAAGTAGCAGAAAATGGTTATTTTATTAACGGAGAATAAACTAATAAAATGGTGTTTCAATATTTGTTACGTCATTTATGTGATTTTAAATATTTTCATTAAGTAGATAAACAACTTCGAATCAAGTTGTATCAAAATATAACGGTAGACACAATTCAAAACTCAGCCCAAACCCAATATTTATAACATTTGGTTATGATATTTTCATTAAGTAGAAAATAATAGGAAATTTGTTGTATTACTATTATATTTAAATTCTTTAAAATGCAACAATAACTTTTAAAATTAGATAAATTTAGAATATCAAATTTACTATTAAAATATAAATTATAAATTGAAAACGATGTAACTTAATTTTCATTGTAGGGTTTAATATTTTCACATTTTAACAAAATAAGTATTATTTATGTATACGTATTATATTACTATAATCATTAGTTTTATCCTCAACAGTCTTAAAATTTCTAATTGGCATCAAATATTGTATTGATTAAAAGCAGTAATATACTCTTAATTATTTTTTTAAAAACATAAATATCATTGTATATAGATGAATACAATTCAAATTTTATAGAAAAAATCAAATTTGAATTTACTGTCATTCATTCATTTATTTTCCTTTAAACGAAAAAACTAAGTAAAATAAATAGCAAACATATAACATAATATGCAACAAGCCGCGAGTATCGCGGCTAAATAACCTAGTTATTTAATTATGATCAAGTGAGAAAAGTTTCAAATCAGACAAGTAACATAATTACACATAGTGATATCAAAATATTCTATATTGTTGTTGTATGATTCATGATAGTAAAAAAATTTAAGATCTTAGATATATGAATAATCAGATTTATATATACATGAAAATGTATAAATTGATACGCGTAGCGTGGATATTCATCTAGTCTAATTTAAGTAACGCCTAGCACGGTATACAACATTGTACCAAAGACATGATAACAACCGATGATTTACCACCAAACCATTGGGTGAGATCACAAGAAGAATGGATTAAGGGTAACAATGTTATTGTGAATCACTCAACTAGTTGTGTTTAAAGGTGCGGGTCAAACTGAAGGAGCGAAAGTTTTGTCAGTCTTAGAAAGGGATTTTCAAGCTCTTATAATGTCTACCCAATGTGAGTGGAGTCGAGGTCTAAGATAATTCATATTTGAGAGAGATTGCAAGTTAACAAAAGATGATTTTAAAAAACATATATATAATAATAATAATCCTTGGACCACCCCATATTTTCCTCTCAATCCTAACCACCGTCACCGTTCATAACATTCGAACCAAAAGCTAGCCCGGAGCTAACGGGATTGATCCAAACTGCTCTTAAATAAGTAATTGCAACGTTTCCGGTTTCCGACCAACGATCCCTTCATATTCCGTTCTGGATCCAACCAAAACCTTACCGGCAAATCACTGCACGTCACCCTCAACAATCCATTTTTCTTAAGACTTGTACCCACTTCAATGCGGGCAATGATCTTGACCGCGGTGTCCCAAATCACATGGCCTTCTTTTACTCCATCTAGCTTCCGCGTGGTGAAGGCGACTGTTGAAATAGGCGTGTGGTTAACTAATTGCTGATAAGTGTAGGGTGTGGTTGATTCTGCCATAACCTTACCTCCCTGGAGGAGATGGCCGTTAACTGTGAAGAGAGACAATTGACAAAATGTGAAAGGACTATCAGCAACCAATGAGACGCTCCAGTTCGTGTTGTTGGAGACAGAGACAGAGTCGACGAATAGGTCTAAGTAACATCTGCTAATGTTGATTAGCCCTATCAACACAAACAACCAAAAACCAAAAATATCGAGTAGTACTACGTACATTATACAATAATTTCGAAGAGGATGGTCTCTCTCCCCGTCTCCGTCTCCATCTTCAGTCGTTGCATTGGGATCACGAGATGTAATTTGAGACCAAGTCGTTAAATTGGGATCACGAGGTGTAATTTGAGACCACGACATTTTGGAATTATAGAAGGCTTAGTACAGATTTTATGTATTACATAAAGTAAATGAATCAGTTTATTCGAAGAGAACAATTCGGGAGACTATTATAAAAAGCTAAGGATCATATTTTTCTTAACTAAATATGTATAGTTTACCACTTTAGGAGTTTTGTTTTTCCTAACAATAATAATAACTTATCTATAAATAAATAACTTTAAGAGCGTAATGTTTTAAGACAAGCTAGGCTGGTTTTGTGGCGTGAAACCAGATCAATCTGTTGAATTTTCGCTTGTCGATCCGCAAAAAGTTGAGTATTTTTCTTTATCTAACTTTGAAAAAATAGGGATCGTAATTTTTTTCTATTCATTTTATTTATATATTGACATGTGGATAAAGATATAGCATAATGTTTTCTTCTAGCAAAATCTCGTTTTGATGATTTAATGTTGTTAATTGTATACGTACTGGCTTGGCAAAAAAAGAAAGAAAGTATTAATCTTACTATATACGAGAAAAGTAGCAACCAAATTCAATTATTTTGGTATGTAACGATTTCTATCAAAATATTTTAACTTTTACTTGTAACATGATGTGTTGAATCTTGTTCATCCATATATCTAGTAATCAGTGTAAATCTAACAAATGATTTTGATAACAATGGCTTGGGATGTATTTACTTGAAACTGTAGTAGTTAATAATAATACCATGAAAAATCTATAAGAACATCAATTAGGAAAAAGCTCTTTCAAATTTAGAAAAGATGAGTGACATTCAATCTTCTTTTCACCGAGCATTGTTCCCGACTTCATATCCGATGAGAACACAACGGTAAGATTTCTACACTGAACAATCAAATGTCCTGGTTTGTTGTTCGCTGCAAATTGTTTGTGCTTCATGAGGAGTGTAATATTAAGATTGTGGACACCTGAAAAAACGTCGCCTCCATTGGCGGGTCCAATATCCTCAGTCTCAGCCTCGAAAGCGACAAAAAAATCTGTGTGACCATTGGAACGTTGGTTGTGAGATACATTTAAAATGGCACTTTTCAGGGGACCAAGATTGGCCGACACATATTCGCGTTCATAAGAGATAGAACACCTAAAGCTAGGTTTCTTCACAAAGAAATATACAATCCACACCGATTCAGCAGAGGAGGAGGAGACGGATATAGATTGGATTAAGAAGTTGGCCTGACAAAAAGCTAAATTGTCGATGGAAAATAAGATGGCGTACACGGCTAGGAGGGAGAAGAATGCAGCCCAACCTGGCTCCACTAAGTAGTTATCATCAACGGGAATGTTAAGATCATTTGGGTCTTCGATCTCTAGTGTTTCGTAATCCATTTTGTTCTTGTTACGCAAGTTATTGAGCGACTTTCGTGTGATTTTCAACTAATTGTAAAGGAAAGGGAGAAAGAAGGATAGTACGTGAAATGCCTCCGATCCCTTTTCAATATTGTAAATGAAATTTCTGAATAAAATGTGATAAAATAAAAACATTATGACTAGCTATTTTTAGAATGCAAAGAAATACAAAAATTGTTTGAGAAAAGTTAGGGATGAGCCTTTTAACCCAACCGAACCAACTTATCTAAACATAATGAGAATCCATGCAAAAACCATTCAAGCTTTTCTTTAACCCAAACCAATAACCCAATCTACATTGTTTTACTATTTATATGTCTTGGTATAGCAACCTTGTAAAGTTTGTTATAATTACTGCCTGTTCGAGTGTTGATTTTGAAGGAAATGATTTTAGAGCTCTAGTTTACAAGTTCATTCCTAATGGAACCTTGACTCGCAATCTCTTTGGAAAGACTCAACATTAGTATAGACGTGGCTTCTGTTTTGGACTATCTCCATGTTCATTGTCATGATCCTATAGCTCATTGCGATCTTAAACGAAGAAATGTCGTTCTAGATGGTGATTTGACTGCCCATGTTAGTGACTTTGGTCTAGCTTGGCTCCTCTTGAAATTCGGCAAGGATTCCTTCCTTAACCAACTCAGCTTGGCTTCATACATATAAAATTGGATGAAGAAATTAGTATATTCTATTATTACTCCAATACTGTCTTGTTTCAATATATAAATTATGGTGCAGAATATGGAAAACTTTACCCTCCACAGCTACACCAAGTCTGTAGTGCCAGAACGAGTATTGGACATGCATATGAATCGATTCTTCAAAGTGGTCTCAGAGTTGGTTTCCCCATGGTTGAGTGCTTATTAGAGTTGAGACTTAGGTGTTGTGAAGAATCTTCGACAAAGTACCGGCGAACAATGAGTGAAGTCGTAAAAGAATTAATGTCAATGAGAGAGGTTCTCCAAAACAAGGAGGACAGCTAGACGTTGAAGTTTTTATGGTTTTCTTTACAAACTTTTTATCACATTTAAATGGCTTATGATGAGGCCTATCATACTACCGCATAGTCTCTTATAATATTGGTCTGTTTTCTCCATGTATATCCATATGAAAGATGAATGTTTGTGTTACCGGCTTTAGAACTGATAAGTTTCTTCAAATATGTTCTAAATAAATCTTAACCCAAATAAATTGGATTGAATGTTACCATGCTTACATTTCTATTTCTAAAGCATATTATAATGAGATAGTTTTCTCTCTGCTTGCACAGATAATCATGTAGAAATTCATAACCACCTCCCTCCTGGTATATCTCTCCAAGTTCATTGTCGTTCCAAAAACCCAAGCTTTGATATGGGAATCCAACAATTAAGAAATGCTACCTCGAAATTTATCATTATAATCACAGAACCTTTCATCAGTTTCAAAAGGCAAGAATATAATTGTTATATATCGTATAGGTCTAAAAATAATCTGGATTATTATTATGATATTCAAGTATATAGATCAGCCGCTACTTTTCGATGTAGTCAGCTACGTTCATGGACTGCACAAGAAGATGGGATTTACTTTACTAGAAGTCGTGGAAAACCACCAACATTTGTACTTCAATGGATGGTAAGAGACCAAAGTAAACCCCCGAAATAATAAAGTATTATAAACCATCAACCGCTTCTTTTTAGTAACTTATATTAATTTATGTAAGTTCTCTTTATGTTTCATGTCGCATGAAGTAAGTCATTAAACCAAGGGTACCGTTTTAGTTTTGTGTTAGAGCATTATAATAAAATTATGAGTTCATCTCATATTTACATATATTTATATTATATATATATATATATATATATATTAATTTAATGTTTTAAATAATAACAACCATTTACAATTTTTCTTTGGTAAGGAGACTTAGACCATCTCAATAGGCATGACCAAAATCTAACTGTAACTGTATTTTGGACCGTAACTAGACCGTTTCTAAACCGTTACAAGACCGTAACTATATAAAACGGTTAAAACCGTAACCGTTAACCGTAAAAATAGATTAGTTACGGTTAAAAAATACGTTAACCATTACCGTTAATTAACCGTTACTATATCAAAACTGTTAGTTAACCATACGGTTAACCACACGATTAAACGCATAGTTAACCGCACAATTAAAACCATAAAAATATAATTGTAACTATGTATAATGTAAAGAAAAATATCGAATGTTCGAATAAAGATACCAAAAATGGAAAAGGTACATTAGAAAAAATAGTTTTTTTCTCAAACAAAATGTGTTGTAATGATACTTTGCTCGAAATGAAGAAAATTTGTCTACAATCTACTTTTTCATCTTATTAAAAGAAGTATAAAAGTCAAGTAATGCGTAAGATTTCACCTCTGATATTAACTGTATTATCATCATTAAATAATCATAACCGTATGTAACTGTAATCGTATTTAACTGTACCTGTTTTAACTGTATATATAGTGGTTAAGATTACAGTTAGAGAATATTTATAACCGTAACCGGTGGTTAATAAACCGTAACCGTTATAACCATAACTGTGATCATGCCTACATCTCAAGATAGAGATCTTTAATTTATTTTTATCTATATTTGAAGTTCTATATTTTCAATTTACACAAAAATTTGGAAATCTCTATATTCAGATGTTAGGAAAAATTTAACTCTAAAATGACATCAAAAATCGGTAAAAAGAAAAAGTGATGTTTAATATATGTATTACATTATACGTGGATGTGTAAATCTATAAGATTATCTAATAAAAAAAACTTAGATTATCCAATGTAAGATTATATGCAATGCTAAATTTATTCAACACCCTCCTTTTTCATTTTTTAACATTCCACATCATCTTCTCTCTCTTCCACCTAATATTCAACATCTATTTAATTTTTAACATTTCCAATGGTTTATTTAATAAATAGAATTATAGTAAAATAAACTTTTATTTTTCAATTCCAAATCAAATGAAACAAGTATCTATTTATAGAGAAAAAAATATGATGAATTTTGATATAAAAAATATAAATAAATAAATTAGTTTAAGAGAAATTGTTAAAAATGCCGTTTTTTCAATACCTCTTTTCAAAAATGCCCCTTTTGAGAGTCCATTTTTAAGTTTGCCCTCTTTTAATTTTTAATGACTATTTTACCCTTATTTGAAACAAAATTAGGTCCACAAAATACAAAATATTTTTTGGCGGGAAAAGTGATCCCTCAATTTTCCCGCCAAAACACTTGTAAAAACCTTTTAAATACCTTGTAAAATTTTCCCGTAAAAATTTTTCCCGCCAAAAATTTTTTTTTGCGGGAAAAGTGATTCAGAAATTTTTTTGGCGGGAAAATTTTACAAGGTATTTTAAAGGTTTTACGGAGTATTTACAAGTGTTTTGTAAAGTTTTACAATGTATTTTAAAAGGTTTTACAAGGTACTTATAAGGTTTTATAAGGTATTTATAACTTGTAAAACCGTATAAAAAACTTGTAAAACCTTATAACTTGTAAAACCTTATAAAATAGCTTGTAAAATCTTATAATTTCTTATAAATACTTTATAAATACGTTGTAAAACCTTTTAAAATACATTGTAAAACCTTATAAATACCCTGCAAAAAACCTTTAAAATACCTTGTAAATTTTTCCCGCCAAAAATTCAACGCCAAAAAATATGCGGAATCACTTTTCCCGCAAAAAAAAAATTTTATGGGAATTTTTTTTTTTTTTTTGTCGTCCGAAATTAATTAGAGCTCAAAAGAGCCATTCCTGGGGAATGTTGTTTACAAATGTGATATGAAGCGGTTCTGTACGAACTTTTCGTGCCAGATGATCCGCTTTTACATTAGCATTACGAGAAATTAAAGATAAAGAGAAGGTTGAGAATTCTTCCTTGTCGCTCTGAAATTCCTCCAAGTACACTGAAAACGCCGGCCATTCGGTTGGAGAAGACACCATCTTCACCAGATCAGAACAGTCTGTAAGGAACTCTACCTCTTGATTATCTGCACCAATCATACACTTCATCGCCCAGAGAAGGGCCTCGAACTCGGTATGTAATGGAGATAAACTTCGACGGAGATTTGCAGCTCCCATGGTTGGCGGCTCTCCGTTTGATGATGTACAGAACCATCCTGTACCGGAGAACTTATCACTTTCTTTCCACGATCCATCCACAAAGCAACGATAACCAGAAAAATTCGAGTCAAGTGAAGTATTCCCCACTTGAGAGCGATTTACCAATTCCACAGTACCATGATTTTCATGATGAAGCTCAATTTGGGCTGACTGCCACAATTGTGCTTCTTTTTCCGCTAACCGTAATACCTCTAACGGATCTTTATCAATATTTTCAAATATTTTTTCATTCCTTGCTTTCCATATATACCAGATAATCCATGGAAAGGCTGAAGAGTCAAATTCTGAAGATATTCTCCAAAATAAATGGTCCAAATTCACAAAAATAGATTCTGTTGGAAAAATTCCCATTGCCGTAGGAATCTGAGAGAGTGCCCAAACCTGTCGTGCCGGGTGGCACTGAAAGAGTGTATGATTGATTGTTTCCACTAGTTCGCCACATCTAGCACAACCTGTATCACAATCAATTCCCCTTCTCCGCAAATTTTCCGTAACTGGTACACAACCCGTTAAAATTTGCCATAAGAAATGACGTATCTTAGGTGGACAATGCACTTGCCAAGAATGTGCTTTTAACGGTTTGATGTCTGGTCCAATCAATGAGAAATTTGTCTCCAAATTTTCTAACCGAGCGGTATGATATCCTGATTTGACTATTTATTTTCCGGATTTTGTAAAATGCCAACCCAATGTATCCTCCTTAGTTGGCGCACCCACAGGTAGGGCACTTATGATGGCGATATCTTCTGGATCAAAGAGCTCCTCTAAGAGAGTAATATTCCAAAAATTCGACCGACTATCTATAAGACTATTAACTTTTAACAATGAATCAACAGGTGAACCATTACTCTTTGCTGGTCTCGGGAATTGAGCTGTAATCCAGGGATCCTCCCAAACTGAGATGGATTTCCTAGATCCGACCCTTTTAATAAGTCCTTTATTAACCAGAGATCTAGCTGAACAAATACTACGCCATCCATATGATGGGGAATATGATTTTATATTTTCCAAGGGATTGGATTTCCGAAAATACCGCCCTTTAAACACCTTCGCAAAAAGAGAATTTGGAACCGTAATCAACCGCCATAATTGTTTAACTAACAGGGCTGAATTAAAGTCGTCTACATTCCGAAAACCTAACCCTCCTTCCGATTTACTATTGCACAACTTGTTCCAAGCCATCCAGTGCATACCTCTCGAATCTCCATTTGAACTCCACCAAAATTTAGCAACCGCACTAGTAAATTTAGAAGTGATTGTTTTCGGTAGTCTGAAGCACGACATAACATAAGTTGGTAATGCTGCAGCTACCGATTTAATCATCACCTCTTTCCCACCTTTTGATAAAAATTTTGCCGACCATCCGTTAATTCTTGTTTGCAATCTATCTCTGACAAAAGAGAAATTTTTTGTTTTAGATCCACCCAAACTCTCTGGCAAACCAAGATAAGAACCCATCCCACCAATAGTAGTGATTCCCAAGGTAGATTTGATTTCCTCCTTGATATCCTCATCTACCTTATGTCCAAACTGAATCGAAGATTTTAAAAAATTAATCTGCTGTCCTGAAACCATTTCATACTTCTTTAGAATCCCCAATATTACCTCACATTCGTCCTTATTTGCCTTACAAAAGAATAAGCTATCATCCGCAAATAACAAATGTGAAACCGAAGGGCTTGCTTTTGCTATCTTAATACCTGTAATTAGTTGTTCCCTTTCTGCTTTCCGAATATTCGCAATTAGCACCTCTGTACAAAGGATAAATAAATAAGGGGATAGCGGGTCTCCTTGTCGTAATCCCCTTTCTGGTACAATTAGTCCTCTAGGTTGCCCATTAAGTAGCACTCTATATTGAACTCTTGTAATGCACCACATTATCCAGTTAATCCATTTTTCACAGAAACCTAGTTTTCTTAGAACCTTCTCAACGAAAATCCATTCCACCCTATCATAAGCTTTACTCATATCAGTTTTAATGGCCATAAATTTTTGTTTACATGTCGGGTTAGTTCTCAACCCATGAAACATCTCTTGTGCAATAAGTATATTATCTGAAATCAATCGTCCTTGGACAAAAGCTGATTGTGTTTCCGAAATGAGTTTTGGTAAAACCGTTTTAAGTCTTTGACAAAGAATCTTCGAAATAATTTTATAACCCACATTGCATAGACTAATATGCCGTAATTCCGTCATCCGTGTCGGTCTTTCCGTTTTTGGAATCAGACAAATGTTTTTACAAGTGTTTTGGCGAGAAAAATTGCGGGATCACTTTTCTCGCCAAAAAATATTTTTGTATTTTGTGGACCTAATTTTGTTATATTTCCTTATATATTTATGATATCTTTTATTAAAAGAAAGGTAATTTAGTCATTTTGTACATAAAAAGGGGTATTTTTAAAAATGGACATACAAAGGGGGCATTTTTGAAAAGGGGTATTGAAAAAGGGGCATTTTTGTGAATCTCCCTTAGTTTAATATATAATAATTGATGTTAAATAGTTAGGGTGAGATTGAAAATTTCAATATCCAATAAAAAAAGAACATGTGTCATTTGTGGTCCCATATTTTTGGTTTCAACATGTTGAATACTTTCAACTGAGTTGAATCCACGTCAGTTTTTTTTCATTTTCAACACCTTCATTGCAAGGATTCAACTGTTGAATTATTTATTCAACACCTCCATTGCACATAGTTTAAAAGACTTAGTAACATTACGATATGGCATCCACGTCGTTTCACACATGATGTCCATGTCGTCAAGATTTAATAGTGCTTTGCCACTATGGCGATAGAGGTATGATTATGCACAAAATTATAAGTTTATGTAATTAATTTGAACTAATGTTTTGTTGAGGTTTGAATTAATACGATAATATATTTTATGTATGACTCGAACTTAACTTTTGATTTGAGGTATGAAAAATAAATAAAAATTCGAAAATATGGTAAAAAAAACTTTTGATACAGAAATTGCAATAATCAATAACAAAATAAAACAATATGTTTGACCTAGTTATATAAACCCAAAAAATCTTATTGAAACTTTCTTGAACCGAAAACAGATGTCTAAAATGCTTTATTGGTTTCTAATGAGAGATTCAAAATTCTTAACCCGATATTATATTTCTCTCATGATCTGACACCTCAGTTTTTTTAGCTCTTTTGAATCTCACATATAAGCTTTTTATCTTCCAATAAGAAGATTTCATTAATAAAATTCAGCTTTAATTTTTTCCAACATTTATTTCTGAATAAAAACATGAAAGTCAGAGAGATCGAGATTGAAATTTAAAGAAGACGGAGCAGGAGATGATCGCAGATGGAGCAGAAGATGAAGAGAAATGGCTCGCCGTGAGTGATGCTGCAACGTACTATTTTAATTCTGCTATATATCCCTTAATTTGTGTGCTCTTTGCTCAAAAAAAAAAATAATAATAATAATAATAATTTGTGTGCTCGTTTCTCCGTGACTATTACATTTGGCGGAAATTGAGATTAAGAAATTTCTAAATTCGTTTAGTACTTTTTTTAGCATGAATCTGACCCTACTTCTGATTTTGGGGAAAAACTTGTGTCGTATTTGGTTGATTAGAACTCGAATAATCTAAATCTCTCTATTTATTGCTTTTGAGATCCTTCTCTATGTATATCATGAAGATAAATATAGTAATTCTCCATAAATTATAATCATTAATCAAGACATATGAGATTGGTGGGTTTATTAGCTTTGGTTTGCTCCTCTGTTTGCAGTTGTTGACATAAAGACTATCTTCACCGTTGCATGTATTTGAGGTAGCAATTTTGATATACAATGTCAGGGATTCCATTCAATGCCTCAAGACAAGCCGATCACCTGAGCAGAATTGTGAAAACTGTTTGTTTCATCTCTTGAAGAGAGAATCCGTATCCACCAACTTCTTCTTGTGGCAACTCGCTTATACCAAGCTCCTTTTCTTTCCGGTGCTTTGACCGATTTTACGATAAGTTTCTAGATGTCCTGACTTCGTACTAGCGCAGGGAAAGACGAAAAGGCTTCGGTTTTGATCCACAATCGATCCCATGAGAGTAACTATTCTCGATATGAGCTGTTCTGTGAGAAATCAAGTTTTGTTCTTTCTAAGGCGTAACCCAACAGCTAGCTGAAGAGAGTAAACTGGTTTCAGCCCCCTTCTAAAAAGAAAATATATATTATTTCTTGTGGGTTTTGGCTCATGTTCTGTTGATTTCATTATTGATGCTTAATGCTTTCACTTTTCTTTCTAAGTGGTGGAATTGAAGCTTCCTTCAAAAAACAATACTCTTATAAGTAAGTAATATTTCACTATTGCTTTAATGGTTTACACCTTGAGTGATAACTTTTATGAAGCTAACTGGTCATGTCAAAGTGTATGTTTCTCTTTAAAAGTATTTGGCTTTGAGGAAACCTAATTTATGATGTGCAGTAACAAAATCCCTTTTTTTTTTTTTCTTGAGTTGTCGATTACAATGAAAAAGACATAACCAAACCTTAAGAAAGAACCAAAGGTATCCATGAGATTCGTTCAAGAGGTCTCATAACATTCCTAAAGCCAAGAAGTACATGATTTACTCCTAGAATAGTTGGTTACTCATTTTGATGTACTCTCTTGACAGGTTTGTAAAATTATAAGCAGAAATTGTTACTTCGTTTTGTCTTGAGATGACGTCTTATGCTGGTCTTGATCTAAATATCTCAAAGACTATAGTGAAGTGGAAACCTTTATGCATGGTTTGACTTCTTTGGAGATGTGAGTTGCGGTGGTGGTGGTAAAGGAGCTTGACTGTTTAAGATGAAGAATGACATGCATAATAGATGAAGATGTATGATAATCGTGTCCATTGAATGTTGGAGCTGAGGGAGCTATTCTAGGAGGAGAAGCGGTAATGTAACAATCATATGAATTTCAACGGAGCCTGAGTCAAAGATAATGTGGAATTAGATTTCATCTTGAATATTGTTTCCTCTAGTTTTGAAGGCAAGTTATGCTGAAGACAAAAAAAAATCCATTCATGTTAGATTAGAGAGAGAATTTAAAGTTTGTATTTCTCATTAAAGTATTAATGTTATTGCATCTCAGTATATATAGTAAATAAGATTACACGTATTAATCGGTATAAAACTATATATACAAGTATATACTCTAACATCCCTCCCTCAAGTCGAATTCTTCAAACCGGAAAAAAGAGACTTGAAAATGCATATCTTGACATGAGAAGCTTGAATGTCTTGGGATGCCTTTGTAAACAAATCAGCCAACTGGTTATCTGTGGTGACATGCATAAGATTCAAGAACCAGCTCTCAATTTATCACGGACTATGTGACAGTCAATCTCAATGTGCTTTGTGCATTCGTGAAAAACAGAGTTGGATGCAATATTAATCGATGTTGTGCTGTCACAATAAATCTTGGCAGGACCAGTAACCTGAACATGAAGATCTTTCAACAATTTGCTTAAACCAAAGCAATTCACAGGTAGTGTCAGCTAAATCTCTTTATTCTGACTCTGCACTACTGCGTGAGGCCGTTTGTTGCTTCTTGGCCTTCCAGGAAATCAAAGAATCTCCAAAAAAAAAACACAAAACCCTGTGGTAGACCGTCTTGTATCTTGACATGTGCCCCAGTCTGCATCCGAGAAAGCTTGTAAACGTATCTCAGAGTGAGAAGGAACAAAAAAGGCCACGGCATGGGTCTCCTTTTAAGTACCTTATAACACGATGAGCAGCTTCTTTTACTCTTTAGAAAATATGATTATAGTATTAGAGAAAATTAAATTTAGTTTTACATTAATTAATTTATTAGAAAAGTAAATGAAAGAAAAAGAAACCAAACGTGTAAATGGCAAATGCAACTATGTAGTATGGAAAAGGATTTTTTTCTATAATTAGGTATTGGAAACGTTTTGGAAACGTATAGTGTACACATATATAATATATATATATATATATAACATTAACATAAAACTATAAAAAATGGTTTAATTAAATAATACAAGTCCAAAATATCAAATATTAAATAGGTTAACTAAAATTCTAAAATAAAAATGATTAAAAGGTTCAAGTTCAAATATTTAATTTAGACCAACATTTTCATTCTCATTTTCATTAGTTTCATCGTAGATCATACAAAGATGCCTCCAAATCTAGCTTGTCGATAAAAAGATCTTAAAACTCAAGAGTCTTCCAAGATTAGTTATATGTATTATAAATCTAAATCTTTTCAACTTTAATTTATTAAGTTTCCAAAGTCAATAAAAAGGATTTGTCGTGTTTCTATTTTAGAAACGTGAGTTTCCATCGTGTTTCCAAACATAGATTTTTAGAAAACACGTTTCTGTGACGTTTTTTGTGTTTTCGAAGAGTTTCCGTTTCCGAAACGTTTCGGAAACGGGAAATGGACCTCGAAGAGAGTTTCCATGCAACTATGCAACATCAATATCGGGGACGATTACATATCTATATATTATTAATTAATAATTAATATTAAAAAAAAAAAACACAATGGATTATCGGTTTAGTTTGGGTCATATATGTGAAAGTTGGTTAACTCTCTCCGATCCATATGAGTGTCACATCATCACACAAGAAAATGACATGTGTTTTCTACATTATTTAAAATGAAAATTAGCAAAATTAAATGAAAAAAATATATATTCTTCATGCATGAGATCCTCCATCAATTCTACTTTTAACGGATTTCATTTTACTCCTTTTGTTTTAATTTTTTCTTTTATTAGTGGTCTTGATAATGATAATGAGAAAATTTATTTGTGTTGTAGTTTAGTTGTTTGCTAGCTAAACTTTTATTAGTTTAGTAATTTTATATTGAGTCTTTTTTTATTATTACGTTTTATGGTTCATTTACGACTTATTATATTGTTTTTTTTCTTTTCTTTTTGTACCTTATGGTAAATTGATAACATTAATGCAAGTTTTTTCAAGTGATTTTCAAGTAATAGGCCTTTGAGATGTTAGTCATACCAAGAATTTCAAGAAACGACTATTTTTCTTAAATGAATATATCAATGACAGAAGATCTAAAAGTGTTGACTTAAATAGCTCTTCAATTTGTGCTATCTTTTTTTTCTTTTGATAGGAAAACTCTTGAGATTTTGTTCAAATGATGTCAATCCAATATTTAGTCATGAGCATTTCCTGATGTGACTGGAGTACTAGACCCTGAGTATACATAGAATAAGAACATCCAAATATTTATCGTTGAGGCACTTATGACATGGGCAGAACATTGTACCGTTCTCACGAGCAAATGGTTCGTTTGTCGCTTGATACATGAAACCGCGCAATCCCTTGTAAAACTCTCTCGTCACATCACCGGCTGCTGGATCTCTATGGTTGTACATCCATTTTCACAATGTGTAGATCTCATGCTCTCCGACATTTTCTTTTCTGTGAGTTTTTTTTTTCACAATCGTTTGATAGAGAGGTAGCATGCGAATCAGTTTGGTCGAGTCTCGGATATCTTCCAATTCACGAGATACTACCGAGCCGCATCCCCTTTTCTACCAAACTAGACAAGTTTTTTTTTTCTAAATTTTTTTTTTTATAAGTAGATTGGAAGGATAAGATTTTTTTTTGTTTTGAGTTATTATTTTTGAATCACATATGCTTGCTATTTATAGGCACAAAATGTTTTTTTGCTAGGGAATTGCTACCTATATTTACAAGGGAATTGCTAGGAATCATATATTTACTAGGATTTTTATAGGGACTTTCACCTACCTTTTTCATCTACCAACAAAGTAGTTACGTTCATTTAAAATATGTTCACCTAACTCGACATTACTCGCAAATCCATCGTAAATATTTCTATGGATAAGAACGTCGCTTATCCCACGCAAATTTTCGACGGAATTGCGAGGGATATAGCGGTAATAGTAGGTTCCTCACAAAGCACTCGCACATTTGCAACGGAAGACTCCGTCGTCACAAATTTGCGAGGGATTAGCAACATAGGCGAAGTGCCTCGCAAGTTCCTCGCATTTCCCTGTAGAGATTCCGACAATAGCTACGGTCAAATTTCCGGTAACAAATCAGTTATAGTTTTAGATAGTTAATGTAACACCCGCGATCCTCAATAGGATCGCCGGGGAAGACTTGGTTCGAGGAAGACTGGAAATCTTGGACTAAGTCTAAGGGAAGCGGATAGAATGGCTTCCGAAGTGCATAACAAGCTGAAATGAGCTAGAAGTGTCGAGCTAACCAGCTCGACTAGCTGGACCAGCTGCTCGGTAGCTCACCTAAGCTGGACGGAGTGAAGGTCAGCTGGTCGAGTGATAGTCTAGCTGGGTCAGCTGGTCGGGTGGGAAGGTAGTGAGGTGGTTGGGTTGACGGTTACATACGCTGGCTGAAGAGACATGGGTAAACGGTTTGGTCGAACAAGTGTGAATGAGCGGTTTCGGCGAACACATACGAACGAGCGTTTTTCACCGAACGGGCACCATTGGGGAAAAACGGTTTTATCCGAAAAACTATAAATAGAAGGCGTTTCGTTTATTTCTACACACACGCAAACACCTAAAAATCCAGAGAAAACTCTAAGGCATTTGCCGAGGGAAATACGGTTAAAAGGAGAGTTTGCGGAGCCGAGCGTTCTATCGGCGATCGAGAGAGGCAACACGGGTCATTCACCGAACGAACCCGTGTAGTGAAGGTGGGTGTAAAGCCGTGGTAATGTGTCGGAGACTACGATCTCCGGAGTTGCGGATGATCTAAGGGCTAGAATATTGTGGGGTGTTTGATTAGTTCGTTGATCGGCTTAGTCATTCATGAGCATATTCATATCGTGCATACTTCGTATGGAGTAACGGTTTTGTTGAGACGGGGATGCGGCTCGGCAAGGAATTGGCGGATCCGCAAGGATATACCGATTCTAGGCCGAACTGATGCGCTTACTTCCTCCCTCCGATCCGTGTTTGGGACCAAAAGATTATAAGGGCGTATAGTGCATTGCATGGACTTGCATCCACTAAGTAAAAATCGGTTACTTATGCCTTGTTGTTTTCAGGAAAGGATGGTGTTCGTGGGAAGGATTTGGCTTAGGCGCGAGAGACTCATGGCCGGGAAGATGGGTGGTGATGAATCGGGTAGAATAGGATCGAATATATAACTTGTAATAGCTTATATGAAAACTCATAAGTTGTATCGAATCCTTTACTTATCTAATAAAGTATCCTACTGTTTGTTTTACTCTAAGATTGCATAACGACTCTAAGTACTGAATCACAAAATAATTTAAATGAATTATCTTAAAGAATGAACAATAAAATTTGGCTAAGGATCGGACCACTTAGTGATCC